TACTCTCCCCCTCATCCCTCCTGACACTCACTCAGACTGCCTTACTAACATGCATTCACATTCAATGCTGGCCATAATTTAGTTATTATTATTATTATTTATTTTATTTTTTTACCTTGGGAGATAAATTATTAACAATACTTTGTTATTGCTAGTGATAAATAATTAATAATACTTTTTTAATTTGAAAGAGATCCCTGAATATCCGATACTGATCCTGTAAAATTCCTTCCACAGTTTATGATTAATTCTTATCACTGCATTGTAATTGTGAATTAGTGATAAGATGCATAATGCTGTGAAATAATGTGCAGTGTATAAATATATAAACTTTCTTGTGATGTCATTCAAATCTTAATAAAAAAACAGCAAAATATAAAGTAAATAATATAAGTTAGAATAATGTAACTATAAAATTCACACGCTACAAAATAAAAGTTTTTTTGTCATTGAAACACAATAATAAAAAAGCAGAAAAACCGATGTATTTCTCTATTTTCATTTTATGTAAATTTCATATAAACCAACAGGAACATCTTCATCATCAATGACCTGGTCACAGCACACCCTCAGCTCAATATAATCAGTAGTGGCTGTGTCAAATTTCCTGTAGAACCATGGTAAGTATGTTGATGAGCAACAGTTGGTTTCTGTGGGTAAACAGTCCTGACCATCCCAGAGTGGATCAGCAACTCCACTTTCACAATAATAATTGTTGCCAACAAAGGAAGGAACTTTTTGTGAGCTACCAGGAGAACATGGACAAGGAGATTGGCCTTCTTTCCGATATGATGCAGCAAAAGTCCAGACATGTTGACGAGGGGATCCATGCGTAATACTGACACCATCAACATAAGGAGTATCAATATTGCCAGGTTTATGATGATATCTGTAAAAAACATCAGGACTATTCCTTGGATATCCTTCTACACGACCACAAATCTGTGAATAGCTGATGCCATTAGTAAAAAAAAAAGCTGATGTGCAGCCATCCCCAAGTCCCCCACAGACTCTTTTACCACCAACTTGATATGGCCTGAACCCAGATGGACACTTATGTGTAGGATCAGACATATCCAGATATGCTAGTCTTTTCCATCCTCCTCCTGAACCACAAAGCTGGTCCATGTTACAGTAAACAGTTTGACAATTGATATAATAGTAGCCTGTTTGACTGTTGGGATGTAACCTCTTAATGTCTTTACAAGATATTGGCTGGAAAGATGATAACACTGTAGTTTGGTTTTGCAGTTCAGTAGCTACTCCTAATATATCATCAACAACTTTGTTGGTAGAATTACTGATATTTCCAATGTTACATAAACCCTCGGTTATGTTTGCTAGCGTATTACTTGAATTTTTAGTTGCCTCCAAAATCTGCATGCCGGTGCTGTTACCACTGGCAGTGTTTTCAGTGACGCTTGAAATATGATCAATTGCATTCTTCAATTGGAGAGTTAACTGGTCAATTTGTTTGCTTTGTTTCTTGAGAGCCATACTTATCTCATCAACTTTTGTTTGTAAGAGAGTGTTAATCTTAACAAGATCAACAGATAGGTCTTGTATGTCACCACCTACTCTGATTATCCCAGCCAATAAAGCAATGGGTACAGCTAATATTCCTATTGCTATGCTAATTTTACCCAGAGATGGAGTACATCTTGATCTATCATTAAGTTGTTCATCATCTTGAGCCAAGATAGACTCCTGAGGCTGTGTCTGGCCCTTTCTAGCTTCCATAACCCGAGCCATAACCAAAATATCCCACGCCCAAGTAACAAAAGGCGTTAATGACGCCTACGTAGTAGATTGGTATAAAATTTTTGCGAGGTCATTCAACCACTAGCAAAATATTAAAAAATCATAAAAGCAGCAAAATAATAATAAAAGCAGCAAAATAAAAAATGAACAGCTGGCAAAAATATTTAAAATATAAAATCAGCTTGCAAAAGAATGGTAGCGGAAGTATAAAATCCCATTTTTAAAGCAGCTTAGCCTCTATTGTTATTTTATGTAAATTTCATATAAACTAACAGGAACATCTTCATCATTAGTGTCCTGGTCACAGCATACCCTCAGCTCAATATAATCAGTAGTGCTAGTATTGTACTGCCTGTAGAACCATGGTAAGTATGGTGATGAACAACAATCGTTTTTCTATGGGTAAACAGTCCTTACCATCCCAGAGTGGATCAGCACTTCCACCTTCACAATAATAATCTTTTCCAACAAATGAAGGAACTTTTTGTGTGTTACCAGGAGAACATGAACAATTGTAAACACCTCCAGCAACTATTTCTGTTTGTGCCATTGCAATAAAAGTCTGCAGACATGCTGACGAGGGGCATTTTTCTTTTTCTCCATTTAAATAGTGTAAATTCTGCCAGTTGGATTTCCATCAGTTAGAATAAGTTGTCATGTAAGAGAAGTGTGTGGATAGCTTACTTGAATAAAAGGGCAAATCTTTAAAACAGAAAAGATGTACATGTACCCAGAATGCATGTATAACACAACCTTTAAAATGTAATTAAATATTATCAAGAGTATCCACTCTTGATATTATGGTAGTTGATTTGCTGGAGCTATTATTGTTACCATTATTATTATTATTTATAAACTTAGTTCAACTGCACATGAGTCAGTATGTGAGCAGTGTAGTAAAGAGCACAGACAATATGGGAAGGTAAGTACACTTTATGTGTCAGTCCTGCTCATTCGATGAACTGTAGCCAAAGAACTGCTCCATTTGTAATCTACTCACAGCTTTTAAAGGAGATACATGCACCAGGTTAGATAATCAAAATATTTCTCATGATTCGCTCAATTTATATTACCGTTTTAGATGTACTCATTCACGAAAGAAATATGCCCTCCAATAAAATGTGACGCATGTAAACTATGCTGTTCATTTGTAAAATCAGATGAATCAAAAAAGAAAGTGAGTGATATATAGTGTATTTTGAATTGTATTATTATAAATTATTATTTCTGTATAGGTTGATGGGAAGACACTCTGCCTTTTATGTACCCTGAATTATAAAAAGACAATGTTTAAGAAGAGACAGAGAGAATTAGAGAAGAGGTACATGTTTCAACATTTAATGGTCTAATGAAATTGCTTGAAATATAATCCCACAATTAATGTATATGGATTCTGTTTTTATTCATAGTGGTATTAGCAATAAGAAACAAAAGATAGAGAGAAGTGAAGATGAGCATCGAAAGTAAGCAAAAAGAGCATGATTAGTAGCAAAAACTTTGATTAAGTGTGCTACATTTTAATTACATTGGGG